GCCAGGGGGGGGCCCACGCCCCCGCTGGCGGCCGGCGAGCACGCGCGGGCGCCGGCGGGGCGGAGAGGGGGCGGGGCCGTCGGGCCTGCCTCGCACCTTGCGAGCACGAAATGGTCGTCCATCATAACCATTGGCGACGGGATAATTGGGCAGGGTGGCCTCTCAATTCCTCAGGCTATTCCTGGTTTTCCAGTGATATTTAATTTTTTTTTACCTCGTAAAATTTTTAATTTCATACTTTTTAAAGAAAAAAAATAAGCCTCCCTAATTGGCCAGCGTTGATTGGAGTTCGTCATGAGAAAATGCAGATTTAACAATATATATCCAAAAAAATAAAAATTGAACAAAAGTAATCCTGTTTCTATGCTTTTATGGAATAGTATCTAGTTTTTCAAGTTTCTGAAAATTTTCGCTGACTTTTAATAATTATTTTATAAATTCCCTGATTTGTCTGACTTTTCCGCAGCAATAAAATTCTTTGCTGTTTTCAGTTTTTTCGTGTTTTCCAGAAAGTGACCACCCTGGTATTAACTGACAAAGTGATCATATTACTGACTAAAGAGATGTCATCACTTGATTGACAAGATAGTGGGAAGCTATCATTGAAAAAAAAGGCTCCAGAAAATATATTATATTATTTATATACGTATATTAAAAGAAAGGTGCATTAAAGAAGAAAAATAGGTATATTAAAAGAAAGTGGCACATTCTTCTCGTTACAGAAGTCTCTATTTATCAATAAAAAAACATTCATCACGCCTGGAAAAATATTTAAATTTCCACTAGATGTCATTAGCATATTTCAAAAATATGCTTTAATACACATTGTTCATTAATTAAAAATAATATTAAAATAACTAAAAACTATATACAATTTTGAAGCAAATTTACAAAAAATTTCAAAACCATATCAAACTTTTTTGTAAATTTTCACGGGTCGCAACGGCTCCCATGACCTTGGTGCCTCGTTGCGTGGGCTCACAGGCTGTGGCATCGTCACCCCGGGGCGCGGAAGTTCGCCTGGCAGGTGAGCAGCGCCCGGGGCCCCGCAGGTGCACAGAGAGACGTCCTCTCCGCAGGTGGAGGGTGAGGGGGGAGCGTCGGGGGCACACGGGACCCGCCGCCAACGACCGCAACCACTCTGACCCACGCGGGCAATAACTGACCACCGGAGTGGCTCACCTTGCGTATTTTCAGCTGCTTAGAGATGAGTAGAAGCATTTTTAAGAGAGTCAAGCTTGTGTTTGTTTGCGCTAATAATTGGTTTGTTTGGTAATAGATGAAATGACGATTCGCAAGGAACCGCCAGTTATCCTACCGGACCAAGGCGTTGGTGGGTCTCAACAGTAGGGGACTGAGTGGTAAATGTGAGGAACAATGAGGAAGAGAGAGATGGGAAGAAGGGAGGCAGGAAGAGAGGGAGAGAGGACGGGCGAAGGAAAAAGGAAAAGGTTGTGACGTAGAGTATGGCAATCGGCATCGGGGACAATTAAGGCAGAAGGGGGCCCGATCGCTAAATCCGCCGCCACCGCCACACGACCTGCCGAAGCAAGCTGCAACAGAAAAAAAAGAAGAAAGTTCCCTTACTGCAGAATGAGTTTCACAACAACTGCTGGTTGTACACATGCACAAAGAAAAAAAAAGTATTATTTTTTTTAATGTGGATATCGGCCATCTGGGCCACGCTACACGTTCTCCGAGGCCCAGTCATATTTTATCCCAGAGAGATTAACGTGTCATTATTCGCAATTCATTTATTTAGCGTACGAGATTGCTAGCGGAGAGACCATCGTTCGGCGCCAGAAGTTTCGACCCAGGCTTCCTTGGAAGTCTACCCCCGACGCGGGCCTGGGGACCTTTATCGCGGGCGGTGCCCTGATGCGCGTTACTCGCTGTGAGGGTCAGCTGTTTATACTGTACTCATTGTTCAAACCATGTTGTTAACCTTGGGTTATGCGCTACGAAGTGATTGGATGTTGATGAGGGGTGAAGGCACAATCACAGATACATCCATGCCTACGCAAGACTCGAACCCGCAGCCTCCTCACCGCAGACGACTACCTCAACCACCTGTGCCACGGGGGGTCTGATAAGACGAGGTTGCTCGCCTGGAATTATGAATAATCAGGTGATAGGATGATGAAAGGTGAAGGGACATTCACAAATACAACCCTGCCTAAGCAGGACTCGACCCCGCAACCTCCTCAGCGCAGACGACGGCTGCCGCAACCACCTGCTCCGAGGATCACGCGAACTTGCCGTCATATTTTTCTTGGGGGTTTGCACAGGAATTAATTGGGAGGGAATGATCAGCATTTCCGCTGAGTCCAATTTTATACCCCACGGTTGTTATCCCTGGGAGATTAGTTATGGAAATGATGATGATGATGAAACAATCACAAACAAACACAACATAACCATGCTCTAACCCGCGATCTTCTGGTCCGAGACCACTACGGCCCTAGTGCCTTAAATCTCGGCTATTGGATCGGCAGTATTATTATTATTATTATTATTATTATTATTATTATTATTATTATTATTATTATTATTATTATTAGTGTTATTTTATTTCTCTACTTCTCGACTGAAGATGTTATGGGTTGGATGAATATAATATCTACTTCGGGTTGCAAATCTTCATCGTAAGGAGCAGATTAAGGGACTGTACAATAATATGCGCAAAATGTGGACTGTTGTCAATAAAGTAATGTCTTACACTTCTCAGTCTTTTGAATGACTTGGGAGATCAGCCAAGATCTTACACAAATTTTGCGGAACAAATAGCAGAGCTCCGATAGCTATCGGGACGACCAAATAATAATAATAATAATAATAATAATAATAATATTATATTATTATATTATTATATTATTATATTATTATATTATTATATTATTATATTATTATATTACTATTATATTATTATTATTATCATCATCATCGCCTGTCGAATACCGTTAAGGGCAAATCCCTCTTGTAAGAACAGGGTTAAGAGTTGGATTTCACACCACATACAATATTGAAAATAAACAGCCAGTAAATCCAACTTTTTTACATAAACTTTCACAAAATAGAGAAAAATTAATAACAAAACAAAACAAGGCTGTTGAAAATTACGTAAAAATACTCAGATAAAAGAACACAATAGTAAAAACAAGAATTCCAAAAATACGCAAAGTTAAAACAATATACTTGCTTTGCATACGATGGTTTTCTTTCGTTACTTTTCCCTCCTTGGAATGCAGTTCTTTATGAACTTACTTTCTGAGATATCATTGAACAATTGAATCTCACAAACACTGTCGAAGATTAAACCAACGTGAAAATTTAAGTATGCCACCAGGTAATTAAATGCGATTGATTGATTACTTTGTCCTCGGGGCGCGTCAACTGCCCCGTTAAGAGTTGTGCAAGTTATCGCGGATTTTATCGTGCCCTTCGCCCCCTCCCTACTGGATGATTAGATACGCGCGACATACACGTCTGATGTGTGGATTTTCCTCAACCGCACGAACGGGGCAACCCATCGGGTGTGACGTAGTGAAATAGAGAATAGTAATTCGGAATAACAGAAATAAAATAATATTATCAAAGATATGTAAAGTTACAATGAATTGCTAATTTAAAAACACTCGGAACCTTTCCTTTCAGAACACTGCTTTAAAATACGCAGATACCATTCAGAACACCGAGGAAAATACAAGCCACGCGTGATGGCGCGTTTCGGGACTCGGTCCGGTACAATTACCGTCACATGTGACGCCAAAATTAAACCCGGTGTGGCGAGACCGTGTGCCTACAGCAGCGAGATTGTCTGGCCTTATCTCCGGACATTCGCCACACTCCTGTACCCTTGTAACACGTACAGCTTCCCAGATGCAAACTGAATGAACAACGCGGGCGCAGATGGCCGGCGTTAAATTAGTTGAGGCTGAACCCCCACCACAGTTCATAGATAGACTCGCACTGGGCGAAGGTCCGCAGGCCAGCTTTGTTTTACGCCCCACACAGAATTCAGGTTGGCTGCTGCTTCCGTAAACGAGGTCGCCCGAGCATCCTCGAGGTTTACAGCCTCGGTATTCTTTGGCTCTGCGCACTACTGAGTCACCGCCGAGTGAAAGAAGACTCCGGATGTTCAGGCTCTCACACCCTTCCCCTCCGAAGGGACTTTCACAACTAACGGTTTGGCCTCGTGTTAAACGACGAACAACGGGGTCACAAGCTCGACGTCATAATGATTATGTAAGGCAAGTCCTCGCCACGTTAGTCCACTCGCGCACTTTAAAAGAGTGCGCAAAGGGTGTCAGCGAAGAGACAGCGGACCGCAAGAAGACACGGGTGCCGCTCACAAGAGGGCGGTACAAGCGGGCGCACCGGAGCCGCTTCGCTTGGCTAGGCGGAATAGGGCGCCTTCCCACGTCGCGGCGGCGGCGCGCTTCCGTCAAGCAGCAGAGCTCTTCCGACGCCGCCTCCGCTGCAGCCACGGCTGCACCGCCGCCCACCGTGGAAGGGGATGGGTTCTGCAGGGGTAGGATTCGCCGACCCTCCGGCAGCGACGAACAAAGGGACCGCAGCAGGTAAAACGCAGCGACCGGCGGCACAGTGGGAAGGCTCCCATTTAAAGCTGTGTACTGCTAGCCGTGGTGCCTACGCCCTCCTCCGCTTCACGAGGCGGGAGTTCGGCATTCGTTGCCGCAGCAGCGGCTACCCTCTGCACGTGGGAAGGCCTCCATTCAAACCAATGCTCTGCTACGCGCCGCGCTGCTCGGAAGCGCACCACCGTTGCGCCGTAGTAAGGGGACCAAAGGGACCGTAGCAGGTAAAACGCAGCGACCGGCGGCACAGTGGGAAGGCTACCATTTAAAGCGGTGTTCTGCCAGCGGTGGTGCGTACGCCCTCCTCCGCTTCGCGTGGCGAGAGTTCACCGCCGCTTGCCGCAGCAGCGCCCGCCCGCTGCACGTGGGAAGGTCTCCATTCAAACCAATGCTCTGCCACGAGCCGCGGCGCTCGGAAGCGCACCGCCGTCGCGACGTGGGAAGGGGCCCATAGAGTGCGCCGAACGGCTATTGTCTTAGTGGGACTTAGGGACCAGGAGTCATCCGGGGATCTCAGGGCCTTCACTTAATACGATCTGCGCGCCAGGCTCCGGACCACCCTAAATATTAAATCTACCGCTCCTCGAAGAGCACTTTAAAAATTTAGCTACTAATGTCTTTTCCAAAATAAACGCATCAAATAATGACATTATTAAAAAATAAGTTTGTACGAGCCGGATTCTACGGCCACGTACCAGCGCCCGAGAGATATGCTACAGTAGGCGAAATAAAAATTGCGGCTTGCATGAAAATTGCTGTAAACATCGCCAAAAGCGCGCCGAACGGCTATTGTCTTCCCTGACCTTATTCTTTTTTCTATTTTACAGATCAGCCATAGATGTCCGAAAGGATAGGAATGGCTACGTAGCAGGTAAGTGTGGTGGAATTGCACACCGCGGCCGCACACAACTGCGCTGCAAAGCTACGGGCGAGCGGTGAGGCAATTGGCGTCTTCGCGCAGTGAAGTGAACATCGGAGTGTTAGTGACTACGTGATCGGCCTGTGCAACGGACTTTTCCCTCTGGATTTTGTTGTTACATTAGTAGCTAATACTGATGTGTTAATTGGACATCTACTCGGTTTATGATAATTTTGGCTAGTCTTGGTACATCTTAAGACTAATTGGTGATAACTCTAGTTAACGGTTATTCTGTACCATTGGAAAAAGTACTTGATTTGGACATAAGAAGTACATATAAAAGATACGTAAGGAATGAGAATAGGACAAGGAAATGGAAAGGAAACATCGCGCGCGGTCCGTGGCCCGTTGTTAGGGTACTGCTCCGGCATTCGCCTGGCATTGATCGGCGAAACCATGGGAAATTACGTTCAAGAGTCTGGTACAAATTTGATCGCAAGTGGTTCAGATGAACAACTCACGCTATTGGATATTTTACTGATGTAATCGAGGCTTCCCACTTTCGTTCAAGTGAACTCTTGATTTGAACTTGGAAGCCCTTGATTTGAACTGTTCATTTCAAGGAAATATCGGTCTTTTAATGTCCTGAAATAGGTCGAATCGACATGGTGCCTAAAGACAAACTCAGAACGGCTGAGCTTATATTTTCTGACCGAAGAAACGAAATAGGCTACTTAGGAATTCTGTGGATATGATTTATTTAGTCAAAGAACAGTAAAATCTCTATATGACGTATAGGAGAGAACATTTTTGCATCTCGTAAATATAGCTTGAAGCAAGTACCATTACAATGATATTAAAATCGATTAAAGTAGCGAAAAATGCTTTAAAATCTGCGCGAAAAGGTAAAAAATGACTTAAGTCGAAACTACGAAAAGTGCAAAGCAATGCCGTATAAAAATGGACCATTCCCTTTAGTCATAATTTAAAAATAATGTCTGTACTGAAAATGGTTGTTTGATGAAATGATGTGAAACATGACATTTCTTTAAAATCCGCCCCTTAGTCATCAATATTTTAGATTTGTTAATTTGTTC